ACTGGCACTTGATTGTCTCACACCACTAGGTTTTGGCCCTATAAAAAGGTCTACGTCCACGTATTGTTCTTACTGCTGACTTCATAGCAGTAGCAGTGGAATTGCATTGGAGAGTATGATCTCTGTTCACATCCGTTCGCAGGAACTATATCTCTGCATTTCTCTCCCTTGCTCCTCTGTCTGCACACACCCCACACACCCATGCTTTAAAGAACTATCCTTACAACTTGGGGCAGCCACTAGGTCACAGTTTCACTCAGATGTTTTGGGGTCTGTCAAAAGTAGGTGCGACCCCTGAAATGATTCTGTTGTTCACAATTATCTTTAGCAATAAAAAAAGGAGCTGTTGACATTTTGATTGCCTTAGAAAATAGGATGTTGTGCTATGGCAATGACACCAGTAATAAAAGTTCAAGTGAAAATTCTTTCCGTCGCTGTGAGAGGATAAAGAAGGCATGACAGCACATTATGCCATGGTCACTGAAAAGCTGAAGCAGTCCACCATGATGAGCTTTCATACTTAGTGATCTATGCTACAGCTAATACTCTCTCTGCTGTTTTACTACTCAGTCATTATTGTAGCAGCTATATGTCTTCGGTTATCAAAGAGAAATATTTGAATTCTTCAGCTATATTTAACCAAAGTTCTGAGATAAAATATTCACATGTGGCATTTTGCATCTTTCTTCAAGTATGGCCTTTGCTTGACAGGAATGCTTACAATAATAATTGCCCTTAATTGTTCTGTTATAATAAATCAAAACACTCACCTCTGTGCTTCTGATGTGAATCAGACACTTGGATTTTTCCTGAGAGTAAAGAGAGATCTTCAGTTTTATGGTTGGCCATGGTGATTGCAGGATTCTTTCTCAGTCCCAATCATCATCTGTTTCGAAACAAGAAGAATATTGACAACCCCCTTTCAGTGACTTTTTAAAACGGCTAAGGGAGAAGTAGCTTGTGCATGTACTTTATACTACCAGCGTATAAATTAGCATGGTTTTCCTTAAAAGCACCCCAGCAGCATGTGTTTTCATCTCAGTACTTGCCACCGTGGCCTGTGTGGTGTCGAACAAAGAAGAGATTGCCTGTAAGCAGAAGGTTTGAGAAAGAATTTGCAGTTTTCATTGCTTGTGTTTGAGCTGTTGTTGGCCACGCTTGCCTACCGTGCGAAGGAGAGACTTTTTTGAGATAGGTTAAGTGTTTTGTGTATTAGTTTGTATCTCTATAAACTTTTATGCCTACGTAGCAGTAAACTATTTTCCTCTGTTTCAGACTATTTTTCTAATATGGCACTTGATATGAATGGCGCCAGAGATGATGAAAAAGAAATCAGTTCATCTACTATGTTATTAATATACACTGTGTTTGTGGGTCTGATACTTTACTTGGTTACATCAGTGTAATCATGAAAAATTCCACAGAATTATAATAAATTATTTGAGGTTTCCATAATACATTTTAGAGAAGAGGTTAGCTCATGTTAAAGTTTTTGTATGCCCCAGGGCTCTTCCTTTGTTTTGGTAGCGTGGAGAAAGTTTGAAAGAGTTGTCATCAGTATAAACCAAAAACACCTCAGGCAACTAAGTGCATGGCATTTATTATTTTATTACTCATCAGCTACCCTACTAGTTGTCCCTCCCCTCCCCTTCCCCACTAAAAAACCTAAAGAAACAAGCACACCACAAGAAGAATGCAAATAAAGGGAATAATTCCCAATAGACCATAAAAGACAGCATTTATAACCCTGATAGAAATGCCAGTCAGCTGCTTTGATGTAAAGCATCTGTCTCCAAAAGGAAATGAAGGAAGGCCTGTTTCTCCTTTCAAGTCTCTGAAGTAGTAGGTGGTGTCATTTGTTATACAGTGCTACAAGTCCTGTGTTGTTGGACTGGTAGCTGCCGACTGCCTTTGTTAACGTACTGAAAAGTTTTATCAGCTGTCTTTAATAAAAGACAATATATGTGGAGGAAAGCTATAGCAAATGTGGCTTGCTCTGCGTCCTCAGACCATCATTTATAGCTGTTAGGGAACGATGACACTGATGTACAATCTTTCAGTCACCCAAAATTCTTGCGATTGTTGCAATAAGCCCTAGATATTGGGGTGACTGATACCCTACAAAGTTAGGGAGTAGCCTTTCAGAAGTCCTATGCACTTTTTCACTTGAAACATGAAGGAGTTGGTATGAACTTTCAGCACTACTTGAAATGAATTACCCGTTCACGTTTTACATAGATATATTTCCGTTGAGCATAGTGGTCTGAAATTTTATTGGCTTTCTAGGAAGTAAGGAATGGTAGATAGAAGTTGGAAAATTTCATATTCAGTTAAAAGGCATGTAATTTGCTCTTTTTTTCTAGATGTTTTTGTTGATTGCTGTACTGAAATGATTTACTAAATTAAAGACATGATGGCAGAAGAGGAGGGGTTTTTTATGTTTAAGTCCTATATATGCAACTTTCTTTAGAGTACTTGATTAGCACTATGTACAGACCTTTGGTTGGGGGGCAGAGAGGAGTTTGGGAAGCCCTATGAGAAAACTGCTTTACTTCCCAGACACTATGTGAATGTCCTAGAATTAGAACTGAATGCATTTTGGGGTGTATGTTACTTAATGAGAGTTTTTCTAGGTTTACAGTTATTTAATCTTTATCTGTTGTAAGCTTTGTCTAACTGAACACCTACATATAGAATTATATTTTGAGTGGGAAGACAGTTATATGTTTATAACTCTGCAAACGTGTATATATGCTCTTGCAAAAGGCTATTTGGACCTCTAATTGGGCCAATATTGGTCACAATTAATGAGAATGGACCGTCCTACTCACGATCATGTCTCAAGCAAGATGGAGGAGAAAGGCCATTTTCAGATGCTTCCATGTAAAAATAAATGAATAAAAGAAATATGTGGCTATTCAGACAGTCATCCATTTACAATAGAGTTGTTCCTTTATGAGTCTTTGCTTGCATCATTTCAATTAGCATCCAGAAAGTCTTCAATTAAGGAACGTATTCCATTATATAAAATGGCATGTATGATTGACGCTGCAAAGTAGGAGCTCCAATAACGTGGCTGCTGCTGTGTGTTGTCCTCCACAAAGATTACTTTTCAGGGGCTTTTTTTTTCCTTCTCCAAACAGAATATGAATTGAATACAAAATTTCTGAGGTTATTTAACTTGAAAATAACGCATAAAACCTAGCTGGTTGGTTGGTGGGATTTGTTTGTTTGTTTTAATGGGACCCAGTAACTAATTTAGGGGGGAATTAATCTGTCAGGGCTAAGCATGAAAAATTACATCTAAATCTAAAAATGGCATCTTCAAGTTGCACTGGCTTAGCATTATGGGGTTTACAGTAGGGATGACTGGATGGCAGAACTCATTTTGTTTGGCAAAATGTTATAACTCTGGAAGCCAGTTGTTCTGAAAACTTGTTACACCACAGTCTTTATCAGTTTTTATGATGCATATCTCAATAGATGAAAAGAATCAAGAAGAGAGTTGAACAAATAGGAAGAACTGGGAGGAGATAAAACTATTTTCTGAACAAGATTTCCGATATGAAGTTTCATTTTTGTTTTTTGGTTTTTTTTTTGAAACTTGAATCAGAAGGATAGGAGTAACATATTTAACTTGCTGGTGGTGAGATTTGAAACGCAGGTAAGTCCTCCTCATTCTAATGACTTCCTATTACCACATCGGTCTGGAAGGGCTTGCACTCCAGGACACCATCTCTAGTGCATGTTTTACTGACCTTCTACCTACTGTGTGACTGAAGTTATTGTCACTGAAGGGCATGTAGAGCATAGCAACCCTGCACTGCTCCCTTTGCCCCCTCCCCTCTCCCCCCCAAAAAAGCTGAGCCAAGCTGTGTTTCCATGTGGCTTCACAGTTTTGAGTCTTGCAGTTTGATCTGACCACTGGTAAGTGGTGTCTTGGACCCCTGTCTTTGGAGGCAAAACTGTGCAACTTGGAAAGTGAGTGTTCCTGAAGCTCAGTGAAAATGATAGTGACCTGAGGAGGACTTTACTGAACTTTACATAGGTTTTGGAGTTGTTTTTTTTTTTCATCCTTTTTTCTTTGAAATCCAAGGTACTGGTTTGGTAAATGACATTACTGTGCTCCTACGAGCATGTTATACCTAGAAGTACTTGTACAAAAGGTAGGTTAATCTCCGTTCTTTTCAGCTTCAGAAATCTGCTTTCTCTGACTTTGTAATATCTGTTAACTTTGTAGTAACTAGGTGTGTTTAATTACCACAAGTGACCTCTTATGTCAAATTGGAACAATCTAAAGATTAAAAAATAATAAAAACAAGAAACATTTTGTCTCAGCTAAAGAAAGCGGGAAGATCTGTTAGTAATGTGAGAGCTTTTTAAATGAGTTTGTTACAAATTCTTGACATCTTTGTTATTAAAATAGCATGCATTTCCACCATTGTTAATTTTACTCAACCATTCATTAAGAAATAATTGCCATAGCCTGAATCTAAATAAATATCTTAAGACCCTTGAACATCTCTAAAATCTGAGGACAGATTGTATTTTCCACTTATTATAATTAAGACAAAGAGAAAAAAAGGATGACTTCCAGTGTGTAAACTATTCTCACTGATTATAAACTCTTTATTGGCAATGAGTTGAATTAAAATTAAATTCCTGTCTTCAATCCACTCTTGAATGACTTTAATTTTCTCTTGGAAACTATACTATGCTGGTATTACCACATGTAAAGCTTTATGAGGTCTGTGCTTTCTCATTAAAGAGAGAAGTCTATATCTGTAGACACCAGAGCTCGCCCTGTTTAAAGCACAGAGTATACAGCAGCTGTTCAGAAACTTTTTCTTGTTATCTCTATTTGCTTAAATTGCTGAATTGCTTCCATGAAATGCCTGCAAACATGAGGGAATAATTTGTGTAAGTGGAAGAAGATTGTCTGAAAAGAAAAACTTAAAATAGTCTTAATATTTCTCCTTCCCATTTTTTTTTTGTACTAGTATCCTGCTGCCTTAATGAATCTTGGAGCCATTCTCCACCTCAATGGTAAACTCAAAGAGGCTGAAGAGAACTACCTCCTTGCCCTTCAACTTAAACCTGATGATGTCATCACTCAGTCCAATCTTCGCAAATTGTGGAATATCATGGAGAAACAAGGTTTAAAGACATCCAAAACATGATACTGAATATGATACTGAAAACTCTGTGAACTTTTTTTGTGAAACTGATTCAAGTCCCAAGCTAGAACTTCCACGAAGTTGTCCGATCACAGCGCTCATTGGACTTGACTGCAAGGGTCAGAGGTCTTAATTGCTGCTAAGAGAAGCTACTCTGCTTTTTTGGCATAGTTTTTTTTTTTTTTTTGCCAGATTTAAAAAAAAAAAAGGGAAACATTTTGAGGAATTCTATGCTCTATGCTCTTCTATATGGTCACCTATGCTCTAGGTGACCCTGCTTGAGCAGGGAGGTTGGACTAGATGATCTCCAGAGGTCCCTTCCAACCTAAACGATTCTGTGATTCTGTAGTTCATGATGGACTTAAGTGTTACCCCACAAAAGTATTTAGAATTGTAGCACTTAAACGAAGGTGTTTTGGCATACTTGATAAACCGTTGCAAATCCCATATTGCTCATTACCGTGTGGGTACTTGAAATGTATACTGTCATAGAAACACGAAGGGAAAATTGTACAGTATACACTAAGCCATATGGGAGTAAAAGTGGTAATAGTAGGTTGAAGTATTTTGCTGAGACTGTAACTCATTAAAATGTATACTAAATCCAACGTGTTTGCAGTTTGTCTTAATGCTGCTGTATCTCACTTTAGGACCACTTGCTTATCAATTTCACATCAGTTCATTTGGCCAATTTTATTTTTTCAAACCTGTCACTTTTGATTAGATGACTATTGAAAATTATTTGTACTGAGTGTGTACATGTAATTTCAGCTTGTTAAAAGTTTTGATGCAGTTTTCTTGTGATAGACAGTCTAATGGCTGTGGGTTAGACAGAATGAGCACGGAGAAGCCCATACTCTACATCAGATATGTAGAGAGGGTAAAAAAAAAAAAAAGGCTGGAGGTATCCTTTAATGTTCTGACTTATCAATAGAAACAAGACTGATATTTGCCCTGATATCAAGTGAGTATGATCAGACTGTTATCTTAAGAAAAAAAAAAATTGGTATTATAGAACAATGTGTTTGAATCTTTCACATCGCTGTCAGATAAGACTGTGTTTAAACTCAGCCAAGCGAGATTTAAAAATATTAGTGCTTGGATATGCTACAGATGAGACTTCATCAGCAACTACGAGAAAAGGGAATGATATACATTGAGGCTAGCAGGTAGCTGAAGGGACTGGATTTTATTGGATCATGTTCAAAACAGTGTAGATCAAGGGAAATGTATAACAATCATCGCCAGTTACTTTTCACAATGGTATTCTTTTAAAAAAATGTTATCTATTCAGATTCTAACCAAATACTAGAATTCTCTTTGTATTCTGACATGCATACTAGCAGCAGAGCTGTCAAATATCTAAATACGCTTTTGGTGAGGTTCAATTTATTTTTAGTTTGGAATGATTTGACCTACTTACTGTTTCAATCTTCATTTTTAATGTAAAAATAATTTATTTTAAATTGCAGTATATTGAAGCTTTAGTCAGATTTTTCCAGGCCATTTGCTAACTGCTCTCTTTCTTTGGAATAAGTATTATTGCTTCTAGGAAATTTACTATTTCATTTAATAACCTGTTTGTATCTGCTTCAATGTTCTTTTCATAATGGTAGATATTTAATGTTAAAGTGGTAGAGCACCTTGAACTGAAGCTTCTTCAGGATCTTCTGTTTAAAATCTCCTTTTTTACTGAAAAAGGTTTTCTTCCCGTTGAGCATCATTCCAACAAAACTGTAGAGAAGAATAATTTGCTGTATTTATTTATTTATTACTTGACTGCAGCAACATTTTCTGTCATTCACACAATAGTCTAAGTGTTGCTATTTCTTTTATTTGGTTTTCTTTGAATTTTTTGTGGTTAGTATGTGTGCTTAATGGCAAAGGAGACACTTGAGTGTACACTACTTCTTGGTCATTCTCCCCTTACACTTAGATTTTAGATCTGTACCAAATTACGTTGGGGAGTAGCTATTGCAAAGTCAGTAGAGTCATAAAACATGGTAGTGTGTGTTTCCTTTTCTTTTTTCATGCTCACTGAAACACCATCTTGCTAAGTTCACTACTGGCCTGCCAGAAGGGCTAGCGGGGCAAGACTGTTTGGTTTTGTAGAGTGTGCCAAGTTTTTCTGAAGTAATGATAAGGCTGGAAAAGCAAAATTGAAGGGTCAAAAGTTGAATTGCTACTTCATCACTGAAACCAGTGGTAAAATACAATGGTAGCTTGAACTTATTCTCCCTCTTTTCTGACTTTCTGGAAAATTATAGAAATAAATTAGATAGTACCTGTGACAGAACTCAGTATAAATCTGTGGTATCTTGCTTTATTTGCTCAACCGTCATCAAACTTTGATGGCTTCTTGGTCGTAACCGTTCACTCTGTTATTTGTCTCCTTCAACTTGTACTCATTCTTGTTTAGTAATTTGTATACATTGCACAAAAGGGGGAAGGGGGAGCACTCATTCGTTGCAGTGTCATGCTTGCATTGATAACTGTTTGTTTTGTTACTTTAAAAAAAAGAAAAGAAAGAAAAAAGGACTAGCATAAATTTGACAAGAATGTCCCTGAATACGTTTTTTAATATAGGTCTGGGCTTGATAACTTTCTTCTTTTGGAATAAATTTAAAACATGTTTAAAATATGTCTCTGCTCAGGGATTTATGGTGGATTATTGCAGACAGTGCTAAAAAAAAAAAAAAAAAAGAGCACAAGACAAGTTTACTAAATTAAAATTTTATTTTTTGAAAAACTGTTATTTGTATAAATTATCAGATTTGTAGGCTTTCCTTTTTGTAGAAATAATTGTTTATGTGCCAGATAAGAGAATTTCAATTTTGTTTTCAATAATAAAGCATTGATAACTAATACATTGTGCATTCCTTTATCTGTTACTGTAACAACTCTATTGACTTTTTTCTTATGCTAATTTAGTGAGTTATTGACTGTTTTAGGTACAGGACAACTATATGGCATGAATAGAATACAAATCTGTCATAGTTATCTTTCTTCTATACTCTGACTTTTATACTTCAGCTTATATTTTCTAAAGGTTATCTGGAAGCATTTTTGAATATTTTTACTCACAAAATTTAGCCGAAGGGTATGTTAACTATTCAATTTGTATGCTGTTTCTAAGCTGTGTGGGAATAAGAGCTGATGAACGAGATATATTTGTAAATTATTTTTATATTGACATATAATCATTATAAAAATACTCCTAAAATGTATAACTGGCAACAAGAGCTGGGAAGGGGACTTGGCTCTATATGAATGGTCTTTGTAGTGTGTGAGATGACCTTTTTTTGATGCTGTAATGTCACGCGTGATAGACTCTAATTTCGCATCTGCTTCTTTCCTGCACAGAAGATGTTATGAAGGGATAGCCTTTTTGCCCTCTTGCTGCTTCCTGAATCTTGCATGGATATAGGCTTTTTAGTTCAGTGGACCTAAGACTGCTGTTCTGATACCTTCCCAGTTCTGTTGCATTCAGGTCCCTTGCATCATTAGATTTGTGCTATGGTTAGAAAATGTTGATGGACATGTTTAGAGCACTAGAGGCTTTGGGTCACTGACTTCCAAATTTAACTATCATGCCTTATTTTTATCTAAGGATAAGCCTGGCTTTCACAGACATGGTCATTACCTGCCTAAGTAGATTTTGATGAAATGGCAGATAGTGTATTCAGAGTATGCAAAGCAGAATCTAATTTGCGTCACTCCTTTCTCATGGAAACAGAGTGTGAAAAACATGCTGGAACTCCTGCTCTGGCACCTTAGCCCTTTTTTCCTTCTCAGCAAGGTCCTGTTCCACCTGCCAAGTGCAACCACTTCTGATGCTCTCGTTCTTCCAACCATCACACCTCTCAGGCAGCAGGTGTCTGGTACCATCTCCATTTCCAATGGCTGCACGAAGCAGCACAGCGCAGGGTAATTCTGCATGCTCAAAATTAGCGGGCTTTATAGAAGTGGAGTTTCGTACCCTGGCAGAACATGCTCTCTGCAACTGGCACAGATGGCTGTATTGCTTCTGGGGTTTGAACCAGCATAATTGTAAAGCTTTAAATTATCCTATGTAAATACGCCAGCCCATTTGGATCTGCCTTGAGAATCTCTAAAGTGGCTCTGTGCTGTAAACATTCCTGTAGCAGATTTGACCGGCATGGGGTGAATGCAGGTAGCAAGAGAGAGTCTTTGTGTCCTGTTCAGGTATGAGAGCAGTCACTGACAGCTGAATTACTGTGTTTATTTTGCTGCATCCCTAAGGGGTGCAAGAGAGAGATTTTAGTGAGCAGTGACAAGTGTGCAAGAAATCTGGAGAACCTGCCTTGTTTCACGTTTGTACTGAACGTTTAATCACTCTGAGATTCGGGAATATAATATTGAAAGAAAGTGTCTTAAGGAATAGAATATGTGGGGAGCAAGGAGGAGTGCCAGGGAGGAGAACAGACATATTTTCATGGAAATAAGTAAGAATTTTAGAAGGGTAGACTTTATTCCAGCAATAAAGAAGGACATCTAGAGCGAGTTATACTAAGAGAAACTGAAGTGAAGGGCATGCATCAGTAAGTTAAAAACAAGCAATCTAGAGCTGAAAAAAGTTTTCTTGGTGTAGTAATCAATCCGAATCAAACATTACAAACCCGAAATGCTGACCTCCAAAGGAATCATAACAGAACAGAGGGACGTACTAATATAAGCACCATGAAAAACTGAACACATGGCTGGTATTGTGCCACTTGAAAATCTTTATGGTTGCATTTGTGTTCAAAACTCAAATTCCCCTTTTTCTCTTCCCTTTCTGTTCTTCCTTGTCTTCTCCTGCGCACGCCGTCATGGTGTGCCGGCTCTCTGGAAATGCCACGGTTCTGCAGTGCAGACGAGCCTGGCAGTAATGTACAAGGAAGCATTTTAGCATTAGAGTGGACTTTCTAAAAAGACGTAAGAAAAAACATATTAAACTCAGTTATGTTTCCTGAATACTCACTTTTTTGGAATATATTTTCAGTGACAAAGAGTAAGCATATTGACTTAATTTAATTAAGTGTGCAGGAATTTCTCTGCAGTGCTTGAAGATTAAATTTTTGTTTATAAATATATGCAATTTTGTGTGCATTTGAGCACAAATTTATGCTTAAAAGCATTAAAGTTTCATTTTGAAGAAGCAGACATGGAAGTCATGTGCAGTGTGAAAAATTTTTTGATTTGATAGAACTTGTAAATAAGCCTATATTTCCTTGCATCACATACTGGCCCCTTACCTGCTAACTTTCTGTTTTTATAGGGATATTTTTTTGTTTTTCTGAAACTCTGAAGCTTATTGTGTGAAACAGTGTTCCTGCAGAGTTTGAGTAGCTTAAGCCACAGGTACAACACTACTGTGATATTACAGAAATGGAAATTGGCTTTGACAACCGAACTTGAGATCAGTTTTGGATTCAGGAATGATTTAACCAAGGTGAACAGATTTGCAACCCACTAACGCAGTAGTCTGCTGTACTAAGTAATCCCAGAAAGTACAGATTATTTGAGAGGCTTTTTTCTTTAGATTTTTTTTTCCTGTCAGCAAAGCGTTTTTTGTCCTAATCTGGAGAAATATATTTTATTTTTTCTCTAATTTTCTTGAGAACATATCTTCCTACATATCTAGTATTTTTCTTTATTACAATGAGAAATTAATTGTACATAGAATTGATGTATTTATTATTTTGACGTGTTGGTTGCAACAACCACAAGGTTCTTCACAGTACATCAGTATATATAACACAGAGTGTTGTTTCTTGTGTTAAATAAATTCCCTCTTCTGGTTTGTATCCACTGTGCAAAGCCAAACATTATAACAAAGTCACTTTTGCACACCCTCAGTTTCTGGTATCCAGCATTGTTCTGCCTATTGTGGCAATGAGTACTTTTACACGACACCGTAAATGTATAGGATGCTAGAAAAAATGTCTTATCCATGCTGTACAATTGAGTTTTTTCTTCTTTCTTTTCAATCACCATCATTTTGCAGAATTATTTTTGCCCTTTGCTGCTCCTTTATGAAACAAAGTATTTAACAATTGAATGAAAAATAAACATATTATTAATAGCATCAGAGAGCTCCATGAATGGTACCAATCTCTTAACATTCACTGAAAGAGCAAAGTTGGTGGCTTTGTCATAAAAGTATTTTCTTTTAATTGCTATTCCTTCCTGTGCAATGCAGTTCCTCTATGAAGTCTGTGTTTGGCAATCCACCTTTTTAGGTATATAAGTGTAAATCTGTATGTTTTTCTGGGATTTTTTGCTTGTAGAATATCTATCTAGATTATCAGTTGAAGGAGTCTTTAAGATAATCTTACATAGAATTGTTTTCCCTATCACTTCTCTTTTACTAGTTTTATGAATAATTTAGAGACTAGAAAAGGAACTGGTTGCCCTGAAGCTTAAGACAGGGAACAGTTTTGGGAGTGAATTGATGCAGTTATGTGCCTTATGTCCAAAGACGTTAGAAGAAATAAAACCCATTTTGCTTTTTAGCTACTACATCCCACTTGCGTCTATACTTTACCAAGTATCCCATTAATACTAATTTTAAGGCTTGATGAAAACATTAATGGAGTGAAAATCTTGTCCACCTTTTCTAACCTTATCAGCTTGCCTAATAAGTTCAATCTAAAGAGTGCAGATGGGTCACAGGAAGACGCATCACAGCAATTCTTCAGATGGACTAACTTTCCTCTTTGCCCCTTTATGACTAAAAAAACCCATCACCCAACGTTTTCTTGCTGATGCAAGACTAATGAAACTACTTAAATGAAAAGCTAAAAAAGGGTATAAACTATTCTAAGTTGCTTGCAAGTAGTATGTGCAAGTTTCAATTGCTTATCTAATGAGATTATAGTTGGTTTATAGTTGACCAATATTCTAATAACAACTCAGCATCAGGTAAATGGGTTTTGCATTTCATCATGCTGAAAGAACCTTTTGTTGTGTATAAGCATATATATACACCTACATATATATACAGATGAATATGTATAGAGAGAGAGAGGGAGAGCATTGTCACCTATCACAACCATTTTGATGATTTTCCTTCTGTCAGCACTGCACATACTTACCCAATTAATTTGAATAGGTCATTTACTAGAAGGTTTATTGTGATTGAGGAAAAACTTTTATGAGAACATTGCGCTATTTGACATGGGAAAAAGAAAAAGAGGTCAAAGCCATGTAAAATCAAACATATATTGCTCAAAAATTTAGTGATCTCTCAGTTGCAATCTATAAATCTCAATTAGATGTGACCACGTACAAATAGATTTTATTTAACTCAGTGAAGCTGGTGATTTTGAAAAGAAAAGGAATCCTAGCCTCTGCAAATAAAATTGTTAATGTTTATATTTACAGACAAATTAGTTTATTTAAATGCTTTTTGTGTTGATCAGTGTAATACTTGTTAAAGTTCTCTCCATTTTTGCTGTTTATTTGCCTTGTTTTTTTCATAATAATTTCAGTTACAGTGCATTTTTTAATTAAGTGTTTATAAATTGAGGCATATTTGATATACCTAATTTATTTGAGAAATGACTAATAAAAGCTGTCATCAAGCAGATCACCTTTTTATATTTCTTTTATTCCATGGGGAAGTTTAGGAATAAGGACAAGGCCAGTGGTTGCACTTAGTTTTTTAGCTTTAGCTCTGCACTTTTTACCTTTAGCTTTGTTCCTGTATTAAACTCATAATAAGCTGTACAAAGCCCACAGTGATCCAGAGAAAACCTAAGTACACTTGTGTGCCCCAGCAACTCCAGGTGAAGCTATAGACACGTATCATGCATGTTTCGGTGTGAGATGCACAAAATTAGGAAGCAGGATCCTCATGT